TTTTTTTATAAAAGTTACATACTGCATCTTTAAGTTTGCTTTTGAATGAACACATCAGCTTTTATACATTTTCAAAGCTACATAAAGAAATCAGACCTTCAGTGTCCTAACTTCATGTGGTTCAACAATAAAATATTAACAGTAAAACTGTTAAATGTGAAGCAGTTCCATGCCAGGTCTTCAAAAACTGCAGCAGCAAAACACTCGTGATGAGTCTGAACTCAACACCATATGGCTGCACAGTGGTTTCAGTAAAGTTGTAGATATACACCTAAAAAATGGCATGATGGTATTTACAAGTACATTCTTTGTGATTTAAATAGCCACATTTTATAACTGATGATGTGGCAGACATCTTCTCCTGCGCCCAGACAATCACTTCTCACTCTCTTGCAGTGACCAGTGTTGCCAGATAGAGTCGAGGTTTTCCAGCCCAAAAATATGTTAAAAACCACCACATCACACAAAAATCTGCCCAGTCGATATATTGTTACAGTACATTTACTGTCTGAACATGAACGCACATCAGGACAAGCCAAGATAATTTAACAACGTGTGGCAAAATGAAACAATCCAACAAAAATCTTCCCAGAGTTCCCAGCAAGATCAGAATGTAAATTGCCCAATCTGGCAACACTGGGAGTGATGCGTGCGAGTGAAAGGGATGGGTGTGACAACGGTAACAAAACCATGTATTTACCAACGAGTCACGTTATCGCTCGGATTTGAACCAGCACATTTTGCATCCAGTCAAAACAAAGATGTTGACAAATAAACTGGACAATGTTCTGGCAATTTAGTGATTTTCCACAGCTGTGGTCTGGACTGGTCTGGAAATAAAGTCCTGAGTCCTCAATGTCCGAGACCGAGACAAGGCCGAGGCCATCAAAAAGTGGTCTTGAGACCGGTCTCAAGACCAAGACCGGTCTCGTGTACTACAACACTAGCTGACACCATATGTACAGTACATACATACATATACATGTATGTACATGAATATGAACATACATGTATGTACATTTACATGTACATACATGTATGTTCATATACATGTACATACATCTATGTGTACATACATGTATGTACATTTACATGTACATACATGTATGTTCATATACATGTGCATACATGTATGTGTACATACATGTACATATGTTAACCTTGTGAGCTGGATCACTTGTAAGATAAACAATGTGTCATCTTCCAGTTTGGTGTGTGGTAAAAAAGGTCACTATCTAAAATTGGGTTGCCATTGATTGGGGTGGCAGAAGATTAATTTATGGCAGCCTAGGCCACCATTGGCCACCCCCTGGCTCTGCCACTGAGCTGGTCCAAGATAAAATTGCTCTCTCTGCTTTGGACAAGGACAAAAACTCTAATTGTATACAGAGTAACTCCTCCCACTTGAACATCTTCCAGCAGAAACATGAAGGTTTACTTCCTCTGTTCAAAAAGCACGTCTGCAAAACTACAAATGTTCACGGTTGAAATCCTCAGTGATGGAGGACGTCTGAGTAGTTAATGGTGGAATGATGTGTCTGTCAGCGCTGGGAGGAAGAGTTGTGGATCAGTCTCACACCCAGAACACGTTTGGGTCCAAACCCTCAGCACACCAAAACTTTATGGTTATTTTAAAAATCTGATCTTTCACGTTCAAACGTAAAGACACGTGAGCACGGTCTGGTTGGTTATAGTGACAGTAAAACGTCTCGACTGAAAAATAAAAAACAAGCAGAAATAAAGCACAACAGTGCACGTGTGCAGAAATAAAGCACAACAGTGCACGTGTGCAGAAACAAAGCACAACAGTGCGCGTGTGCAGAAATAAAGCACAACAGTGCACGTGTGCAGAAATAAAGCACAACAGTGCACGTGACCTTGTGAAAAAGACAGTTTTTAACTTGTGTGTACAAAAACCCAGCATGTGTTTTTATTTCAGACTTGTGTACAGTTACACACTTCCTGCTGGAAGACTCCAGAATAAAACATGTTGGACCCTCAACTCAAATCTCTCAACTACATCCCTGGAAAAAAGTTGTTTTTATTCTTATTCACATGCTTTATTTTTTAATTTTATAATACAAGTCGAGGTTCGTTTCTAAAAACTAGTTCTGAGCCAACGGAGCGAGCTGAGCTGCTGCGACATGAAACATGTGAAACATAAAGCACAAGCGTTTGAACACGACCTCTGTAAACTTCTCTAATATTCCTGTCAGACATTTATTCATAATAAATATTGTTCTTTGATCTTTTCCTCTTCTTCAATAATGTCCATTTGTATGTTTGAAATATTAGGATTTTTCTTTTGACGTGTGCAGACGCAGCAGGAAGCGTGTTGTTCAAACTAAACTAAAACATTTAATGTTTGTCTTAAACGGATTTATAATGAATTTGTTTAAAAAGGTGAACAAAAGGAAAAATGTAGATTATAAAAGAATCTGACAAAACACGAGTAAAACAACTAAACTAGAGTAGTGTTCCAGAAATAAATGGATTTTTGTTGTTTTGACCAAAAACGAACTCCAAATGATCAAATGTACGTTTTTATAAAACCAGAAGCTGCTTTCAACACTTTTATTCATTTTCTATAAACACGCTCCGAACAAAACATTTAGAATTATTAGACACTAATAAGACAAGTACTGAGTTAGAAGAGTTTATACATAAACACCTAAACTATTTCACTTCCAGCAACACACAACAAAAATACATTAT